GAACCCCTGTGCTAGACAGTGACCCACCCGTAATCAGAAATCAAGACTTATTTATCTTCATATGATTAATTGGAAATAAAGTGCTTGCTCCTGGAAGGTAAGCAATAGATTTTTTTCCTTTACTTATTGTTTTTAAAATTAAATTATAGCACTTGAAATAACTCATGATTCTGAAATAATTTCAACAGAGAGATCTTTTTTTGAGAGTGAAAAATTTATACCTAGCGAAAAGCAGAAAACACTTTTGGAACTCAGTTTTCAGATGCATCCCTAACTTTGAATCCATTGCCTTTATTTTAGAACCATACTATGGTGCACATGTCATATTAATGTTCACCTCTAAAACCACAAAATCCTAATGATAAGTTAGATTGGGCACACAGTTATGTTTGTTAACACTAATGAAATTTTACTATTGTCAATGTTCCTGTGAGTTTCTCCCATACTAGTCCCTCCGCTTGGAGAAAGTTCCCATCTCTTTGTATGGCTAGATCTATTTTATCTTAAAGTATTTTGATGAAATAGTACCTCTTAAATAAGACATTTCCTTATCTTACCCTCCTACTATCACACACATATTCTTCCTTTATCCAGAACTGAGCCAATACCTTGTATGTATCCAATGTCTCTATTTATGTATGACCTGCCTCCCATGCTTTAATGAAACATATCATAGGGACAAAAAAAAACACAGTGGTTTTTTAAGCAAAATGCATACATCTAACTTCTAAGATAGCATTCTCAATAAGTATTTTTAGGTAAAAGTTGATTTCACTTGAACAGCTCCTCATATAACATATCAAAGTTTCTCACTCTTGGCACTGTTGACAGTTGAGGCCCAGTAATTCTTTGTTTTGTGAATTCTAAGGACATCTGCAGTATTTCTGGCTTACACCCACTAGATGCCAGTAGTACCCACCAATTCAGAGAAGCAAAAATGTCTCAAGACATGGTAAAATGTTCTCTGGAAGGCAAACAAGAGAAGGACTGTTATAGATCCACGCAATAAAATTAGCTAAACAATGAAGGAGGAAACACAGTGTTTGCTCCTGGAAGGTAAGCAGTAGATTTTCTGAGTTTTCTTCTGCCCCTTTGCCTTCCAAATGACAGATTTTTATCCTCCACAGATGTAGCATATTGGGAAATGTTGAATTTGGATCAAACAATGTACGTGGAAGTTTAAGTTCTGACACCACTTTTATAACATTGAATAATAATAATAATAGATCAGTACTTGCACAAATCAACATTATTGAGCACGTGAATACACTAGTGGCAGTCACTGAGTCCAGGGCTTCAGAGACACTCAATTATTTCATTTTATACCACTTTGTGGAATATGCATTGCTATTTCATTTTCCTTAACTGACCAAGATGAAAAAGGTACTGGGTAGAGAAAACAGCATTGGGACTCATATAGGATGACTCCACAGTCTGCTCCTAAGCTGTCCCAGTTCACAGCCACTAGCGAAGCCAACAGCCCTCAGGCAGCTATTGGCTGGAAATATGCTAAGTCTGAATTGAGACTTGATGTAACTAGAAAATACTCGTTGTAAGGGTTTCAAAGAAACATGGGAGAAAATAATGTAAAATATCTAAATAGGTTTTACCTGGTACATCGATGATATGTTTAAAGGATAACATTGGGTTAATAAAATATATCCTATATAATAAAAGGGTAATATGCAAATTGACCCTAATGGTGGAATGACCGGGAACGACCAGTCGCTATGATGCGCATTGACCACCAGGGGACAGATGCTCAATGCAGGAGCTTCCCCCTGGTGGTCAGTGCACTCCCACAGAGGGAGCTCCTCTCATCCACAAGCCAGGCAGATGGCTGTGAGCGCAGCGGCAGTGGCGGGAGCCTCTCCCACCTCCTCAGCAGTGCTAAGGATGTCTGACTGTGGCTTAGGCCCGCTCTCCCAGGGAGTAAGCTTAAGCCGGCAGGTGGACAGCCCCAAGGGCTCCCGGGCTGCCAGAGGGATGTCTGATTGCCAACTTAGGCCCACTCCCCCAGGGAGTGGGCCTAAGGCAGCAGGTAGACATCCCCCAAGGGGTCCCGGACTGCGAGAAGGTACAGGACAGGCTAGGGACACCCCCTCCCCTCCCCAAGTGCACGAATTTTTGTGCACCAGGCCTCTAGTGATTAAATAAATGTCCTCTCTTTTCATTTTTAAAATATGGCTGACAGAAAATGTAAAATGACATATGTAGCACACACAATTGGTTTGCAATATATTTCTATGAAGCAACACCAATTTGTTTTCTTTATCATCTCCACTTGGAACCTCCTTTACTTTTCTATACATTGGGTATAAGAAAAATATCAATGGGTCTATACAAGTTAGTTGTGAGATTTTAGTGATGTCCCATTAGAAAGGCTTCATAAACTGTAGAAGCCTCTCCAAACTTTGGCTATTTAATGTAATGATGTTAGAAGTTAAAAACTAGCCCTAGCTGGTTTGGCTCAGTGGATAGAGCATCATCCTGCAGACTGAAGGGTCCCCAGTTCAGTTCCAGTCAAAGGCACATGCCCTGGTTATGGGCTCAATCCCCAGTAGGAGGTGTGCAAGAGGCAGCCAATCAATGATTCTTTCTCATCATTGATATTTCTATCTCTCTCTCCCTCTCCTTTCTTCTCTGAATTCAATAAATATATTTTTTTAAAAAGAAGTTAAAAACTAATGTTTTGGGTGTTAGATGACTTAAATTATCAAGTAACATTCTGATTGCCATTACTCAGTGTTCCCAATAGTAAGATATTCATTGAAGAAAAGACAATTGAGAAAATAAAAGTTCAAAAATTATGTTTCCTATGATTACAAAATAATGAGACAAGATACAGTATACTCTAAAATTTCTCTAAATGAATTGGTTTGTACATTTGGAGTTGGATATGGATGTCTACCCACCTCTGCCATTAGCTGCAATGTGGCTCTTATTGTCTCATTTGTAAAATGGAGGTCATAATACTCACTTGGATGATTACATAAAGTAGACCAGTAAGTAACTTGGTATGGGATCCAATAAAAATGCTATTGAGAAAATATGTTATGCTTTATTATTATTAACATTATTATTATTATTTCAGGGCTTATATGATATGCCTACCAGATACCAATTACAAATTCTGACTTAAAAGAAAACAATTATTGAATTAATAAAGATGTTATAACAGATAAAAATATTTTCTTCAGGAATTATTAACTTTCAAATGTCCATTTTTATTTAATTAGAATCTTAATTTGCTTATTGAATGCACCATTTTTTAATGGACTGCCATAAAGACACATGTGTATACATGTTCCTCTTCACTTAAAATATAATACTCCTTTTAATGGTTAGTTATTATTATTTTTAATAATATTTTTCAATTGATTTTAGAGAGAAAAAGGAGAGAGAGATAAAAATATCGATGAGAGACAACTGCCTCTTGCACGCCCCCTAATGGGGATTTAGCTCGCAACCCTGGCATATTCCCTGACCTGGAATTGAACTGGTGAACTCTTGGTTCATGGGTTTATACTAAACCACTGAGCAACACTGGCCAGGCTGTTCAGTTATTATTAATAAAATATTTTTCAGAAATATTTTTTATCATTGCAGAATACACAATTGGACAATTTTTTTTCCCTCCTGAACTTGTCTGGCCATTGTTCTGGTAACAGGCTTGCACTAAAGGACAATCAGAAATAAATATAAAATGTGAAATTTAAGTTTTATGTAAAGAGGCACCTCTTTAGACCTGTTCTGAAAGAACTATACAGGATTATAATTGGTTTCCTATTCCCTGCCAATGTTAAATGTAACTTGGAGCTGAAACCTGATTATTTAAAAACAGGATAAGTAAACACCCTCCTCCCTGTATTTTGGGCCAGACACCACAATAGCAGACATAACTGTCATGTACCTGAAGTATCTAACAAAAGAATTGTCACAAATACATAAGCATATGATTAGTCTACTAACACAATTCTACTTGAATTTCATATTTCCACAAACGTGATTAAAAAAAAATTCAATTCCAATCATGCACTTTCAATTATCAACATTAGACAAAAATAGCACAGAAAAGAGGAAAAATGCTTTTAAAGAGCCAAAATAATACAGTGAATCCTCAGACTATAATTCTTTCTGTGCAATGGACTTTAGTGTAAAAATATAAATATCACAAGAAGCTGTACTTTAAAACTTTATCACAAAGGTTCACTTAAAATTAGGGGATCAATTCAGAAGTTAATACACAGTAAATGCTAAAAATTAAGTACATAGACCTTACTAAAGCCTCCATTTTTATGCCACATTCGTAATAATGTAGAATCTCATCTTGAGCATAGGATCTTTTAGACTGGCAGGAAATTGGCTAAGTCTTGGAGTGTCCATTGAGGCCTAATAAACATCCTCTCTACTTGCAGGTCTACTAAATTTGTATAAAAAAAGAGAATAAAACCTGTGTTATAATGTCAGAAGCTAATGATTCTTAAGCCATTCATGACCTATTTTGAGAATTTGAAGGTTAATTCTATAACACAAAATAGACCTATAAATAGATAGGAATACAAAATGTTTTATTTATGATTGCTATTCCAAAGGCAGAGAGATTAAATGCAAATCTGACACTGATATCCAAATGCAAATCTGATTAGTGCTCCCTACGGTGTCCTTTCTAATCTGTCCAATTAGATTTTTTTATTGAAAAAAATGTACCCTCAAGTTAGTATCCTCCTTATTAAATTCTAAGTGGAAATAAACAGACTTGTTGTAGAATTATCTCTTACTTTGTTGTCCAATAAAACATTATTTTCTTTTGCTAACTGGAAGAAATAGTTTTAGATTACAATTATAGATGAAGAGTATATATATATATATATATATATATATATATATATAGAGAGAGAGAGAGAGAGAGAGAGAGAGAGAGAGAGAGGGGTTTTTTTTCTGATTTTTTTTTACTCTAAAGCTTCTACCCTGCAGAAAGACCATTAAAGGCAGCTTACTCTGGGGGAAGCGAGGTGGATTGTCATTGACATCTGTCAGCGTGATGTTGACGGTGGTAGTCCCCGATAAGCCTCCCATCTGGCCGCCCATGTCCTTGGCCTGGATAACCACTTGATATTGCTCCCTGTTTTCTCTGTTCATGTTTGGCAAAGCAGTCCTGATGATACCTTAAAGAAAATATAAAAACATTTGTTATCTTCACTGTCACCTCAATTATCTGTTGATTAAGCTCACAAAGTATATGTCCAAACTAGAGACTTTTAAAAGACAAGGTATGTTTTTTGCTATTAATGTTTATTGTCTAGAAATTTTAAAAGTGATCCAATGCAGATATTTTACAATTTGGGTCATGTTCCTAATTCTTAAAGAATACCATAGGTACTGGATAATGACCTAAGCCCATGTGACGCAAACCCATACGTAAAAACGGGCATCTTTTCTTTTTTAAAAAATTTTATTTTATTGCTTAAAGTATTACAAAGAGTATTATATATGTCTCCTTTTTTTCCCCCTTGACATTCCCCCAGCCTCCCCTACCCCCCAGTGTCTTGTGAACATTGGTTATGCTTATATGCATGCATACAAGTCTTTCGGTTGATCTCTTACCCCCCTCGCCCCACCCCACAACCCTACCTGGCCTTTAGCTTGCTCAATCATTCAACTTGAAGTTTGTAAATCTCTAGGTGTGGCATCATCACTCTGCTGGGAGTATTAATGGTAATGTTTGTTCTTATTTTCACACCTTTTTTCTACTTGTAGAGATTGTAAAGAATATTAAATTAACAAACCAATTCATGGTTCCTGACCTGTTTCAGGCTCCACAGAGAAATACGGCTGCCCTTGGAGTATGCTGTAAATGACTCTGGCGCTGTTTCCATAGGAAGGGTCATCGGCATCGGTAGCTGTGACTTGCACCACAGAAGTACCTGAAGTATCCAAATTCAGCTTAGTTCTGCACAGTACCAGAAGGAGGAGCAAAAGCACTGGTTTTCATGGAAGACTTGAATGATTTTGGCTTTAATCATGACCTCTTAAAAAAACATGTATTGATAATTTAGATGAAAATCATACTGAGAGTTAACTCTGAGTTCAAGTACATATTTATGTAGCCAACAAGTTTATTTTTATGCATGCAAATAGATACTGATAGAGTGTATCAGATTTTTTAAAAATGCATTCACTTTACAAATGCTCAGGTTTGATACTTAAATTAATTTTCTCATAATAGATTTGTTTGATGTAAAGGGCATATCTAATCACAAAGGAGTAAGTATGCTCCTTTCCCCCTCTGCACTAATTAACTATAAAAATAATTAACATCTGCTCTAGAATACAATTTTATGAATAGATTAAAATTTAAATTTAGAAGCAATCCAAGATGATCCCAAGTTCCACCAACTATGAAAAGCTATCTCATAAAGTTCAAGGCATTTAAAAGGGCTTTATAATAAGGCAATGGACAAAAGTCCTTGGGATTCAGTGAAGTAAATATTAAATAGTAATCCTAGAACAATGCTTTTGAGAAATGAAGAGTTCAAACTTTGCTATAACAACTTTTACAAATTTTTTTCCAATTGTTATCAGTTTATATAACTTGTCCTACATTTGAGAAATGAATCTATTTTACTAAATCCAAACATATATCTCTAAAACTGTTTTCATATGTTGAATTTTTTATAATCCTCTATTCATAAAAAATGAATGTGGTCTATGTAAAATAATTGGATGATCTCATTAACACCATCATTTATATTGTCAAGATAATCCAGACAAACTCAAGGTAAATGACTAGACTATATATGCAGAGACTCTTTTTATACCTATGTTCTAAATGTACTTATATTTGGTGTCAAAATATTACACAGCTATTATCCAAATTTATGTGACAAAAATTTACATTTTCATAGTTTTCTACTAAGTTAAATGGTATTTTCTTGGATTTTTGAGGAAAGTGTCCACTTCTTTGTATTGTAAGATTTACAAATACAAAAACTCCTGTCCTAAGTGAGGATATTATGTATGATTTTTGTAGGAGTCAATGGTGATTTCAATTAAGTGGTCATAATATTTTGAGAATTTCTTGTTTTTTAAATACTTTTTGAAAAACACCATAAATGTTTTTTTTTTTTAAAATATATTTTATTGATTTTTTACAGAGAGGAAGGGAGAGAGATAGAGAGTTAGAGACATCGATGAGGTCTTTGTATTGTAAGATTTACAAATACAAAAACTCCTGTCCTAAGTGAGGATATTATGTATGATTTTTGTAGGAGTCAATGGTGATTTCAATTAAGTGGTCATAATATTTTGAGAATTTCTTGTTTAGCCAAACCGGTTTTGGCCACCATAAATGTTTTAAATACACTTACCTACGACAGACATTTCAGGAACACTAGCTGTATAAATTTCCTCTGGGAATGTTGGCTCATTGTCATTGATATCGTGGATTTTGATCACAAACTCAGACTCTGGTTCTACTGGCCTCAGCGTTCTTCTGTTAATAGCTTGTGCACGTAGAGTATAAAAGGCCTTTTCTTCTCGATCAATTCTTCTTGTGGCATGAATGTCACCTGTTTTTTCGTCAATAATAAAAAGAGTACCAGCTCCATCTCCAGATAAAATATATTTGAGTGATCCATCTCCTTTATCTTGGTCTGAATGAAGCTAGGAAGAATAAAAAAAGAGTATACCCATGATAATGTCTAAAGGCACGTAATGTTGAAAGAATTCAAAGAGTTTCTTATATCCCATCACTGAATAATGGGGTCAGTTATTTTAGTTTTTTAAATGAGAGTTGAGCCCAGCTAGTGTGGCTCCTTGGTTGAGCGTCAACCTAAGAACCAAGAGGTCACTGGTTGTTTCCTGGTCAGGGCACATACCTGGGTTAGAGGTGAATATAACAGTGGGTGAATCTGGCCTTAAGGTGGCAGACCTGGAAAAGAGACCCTCCTTGGACCAAGAAGCAAGTGCAGGGATGTTTGAGTAGGGAAAATGGATCCCAAGAATCTCAAGTACAGTCTAAAAAAGGACATACAGGTTCCAGTTGTAAATATCCATTTGCTCCCATGGAATTCTTACCCCGAGGGGAGGGGCTCGCCATGGAAGGAACAGAGCATGGCTTTGTAAAACACAAGAATTATAAATATCTCTTTAATTGTACCATCCAATCAATAAACATTTTCTATGCTAAGATCACAGTTTGATTATTTGCAATAAACGAGTATACTTTTAAAATTTATATTTATTTTTTTATCAGATAAGAAATATAAAAACTATAAAGCATTTATAACAATTTAGATATTGTGAAAGTGTTTTTTAATATTCATATAAAATGTAGTAATAATTCATTATAGGCATACTGACATGTAGCTTAGAGAATTAAAAATTGGAGACTATATTTTTCAATTATGCAAAAAAATTAGAGAGACATATTTACCTAAATAGGTTTGATTTTTGCTCTTTAGATGACATATCAACATGCATTTTGATCTAATTACATGGGAAAATATTAAACTGATTATTTTCTCTTTAAAATATAATTTTGTTTCTTTATTTGAAAGTTTCATTAATGGGAGCTTGTAAATGAACGTAACTGTGAAAACATTTTATATGAATATCAAAACTGTTTACCTTAAATAAATATTTTGAGACACAAAAATGCTAATATATTGTATTACTAGTATTGTTGGGTCTACAAAAGTAGTCTGCTTTTTGCCTAATAGTTTGCAGTAATTAGCACTTAGCCATCAAATTTGGATCAGACTCCATTTTTTTATTTCTGGAAAATTACTCATTATTACAGGCCTAATGGATAAAGTAAACCCCAAATTGATATATACTTTGGAGGAAAAGACGTCAGGTGACAATTTTTATGGCATATTTTACTATTCATAAACAACAAAGCAAGGTTGAGAAAACTCAAGAAACAAACACCTGCTATTAAGTAAAAAGCTCTTAGAAGTAACTAATGACTGCGTTGTCCAGAGAAACACTCTCAAAAAGTCAAAAGATTGATGCTTTTTAGTAACTGAAATTGCACGTAGTTGCCGGGCAACTTTCCAATTATATGGATGTGAAACACTGGGTAATTTTCCAAATGGCAGGCATAAGCATTGCATATTTCTTACTCTGTCTGGGAATCAACATAATTCAAGAAAAGATTATTGATATTATCAATCATTTGATCAGATAAATTTGTGGTTTGTAGTAGAGAGTTATAATGTTTACTGTCTAATCTTTCAACATTTTTAATCTTTCAACATTTTTAATTGAGAAATATTTATTTACTCTCAGAAGAATCAGGTACTTCTAAAAGTAAAGCAGCAATTCCTTATTAGTTCTATGGAAGATTCAAACACTGTATGTAATGGAAATTCACTTAACAACCCATAAGCTAGCCCATAGAAATGAGGGAGTGTTTCCTTAAGTATATAACACATAAGTTACTTGATAAAGAATGAGAAGAAGTTTAAACTTGGAAATTTTCTTGCATTTTACACTTCCTGGGGAAATACCGGATGAATATAGAACATAGATTTGGAGTAGAGAGGGTATAAGGCAAGATGGGAATCATTAATACCAGTTCTATTTTATTCAGTTAGTCATGAAAAAAAGTTGCTAGTATTGGTGAGATTTTAATTTTAATAATGCTCCATTTTGGACTATGAATCACAGCAGGATTTTTGCTTTCACTTATACTACAGAGAGTGGAAATTAAATTTCACATCCTGGGAGTTCCTGTTGGATTAGAAAATTGAACATGGTATTAGGGAATCAAAAAGATGAGGATTGGAAGTTGGACTGTGGTTTTGAGAAATAAGAGGATTTCAACCTCCTCATAATTAAGAGAAATAAATTAAACCTGTGAATTTATACCTTTTGGCCTAAAGATCTAGAACTACAATAAAATTTTCTTGAACCATTAGAGCGTACATAAAAGAAAAGTGAATTTTCTTCTTTGCAAATATATTTTTATTGATTTCAGAAAGGAAGGGAGAAGGAGAGATAGAAACATCAATGATGAGAGAGAATCATTGATTGGCTGCCTTATGCACACCCCACACTGGGGATCCAGCCCTCAACCAAGGGCATATGGCCTAACCAGGTATCTAACCATGACCTCCTGGTTCATAGGTTACTGCTCAACCACTGAGCCACGCCAGCCGGCTAAAAAGTAAATTTTCTTAAAAAGGGAAACAGCTGATCACTAACACTAGATTAAAGGGCCAAAGTAACCATGTTTGGGGGTTTCCATTAGCATATGTTTATCAGAATCTTCTTTAAATAAACATATTTGAGAACTGGACAGTAAAGAAGCAACAGATACTAGCATAATGCCGAGAGGTGCATTTGGGGAGTTGCTCCCTCCTGTAGGTGAACAGTGGGAGACAAGAACTAACAATAACATTGATGTTGATATTGATGATTTCCTAACAGGTAAAGAAAAAGAGCCATGCACAAAGTTCTTTAATCACAATCCCCTGCCCTCTTCTTTTTAAGTTGCTTTTTATTACTTTAATTACTTCTTCCCTGGTATTGTCTCTCTCCCTCATGTGTGTTTATTTCACATTTCAACTCATTTACTAAGTCCGTGGTTGGCAAACTGCAACTTGCGAGCCACATGCGGCTCTTTGGCCCCTTGAGTGTGGCTCTTCCTAAGCCTTAGGAGTACCCTAATTAAGTTAATAACAATGTAACTACCTATATAGTTTAAGTTTAAAAAATTTGGCTCTCAAAAGAAATTTCAATCGTTGTACTGTTGATATTTGGCCCTGTTGACTAATGAGTTTGCTGACCACTGTACTAAGTAATATCAGATGAATGTTAATACGAAAAACTGTAGCTTTCTTGTTGCTCTTCACTTTTATATTTGAACTAGAGGCCTGGTGCACGAGATTCGTGCACTGGGAGGTGGGGTCCCTCAGCCCAGCCTGCACCCTCTTGCAGTCCAGGAACCCTTGGGGATGTCCACCTGCCAACTTAAGCCCGCAGTCAGACATCCCTCTTGCAGTACAGGGTTCTCACAGTCTGGGACCCCTCGCTCCTTACCGCCCACCTGCAGCAGAGGCGGGAGAGGCTCCTGCCACCGCCATTGCACTCACCAGCCATGAGCCTGGCTTTTGGCTGAGCAGCGCCCCCCTGTGGAAGCTCACTGACCACCAGGGGACATCTCTTGCATTGAGCGTCTTCTCCCTGGTGGTCAGTGCGCATCATAGCAACCGGTCATTCCGCTGTTCAGTTTATTTGCATACTAGCCTTTTATTATATAGGATGTTAGTTATCAATACTTGAATTTATTAAACATTTAACTGAATAAAATCAGTTGTTTCTATTACTGAGAGGTGGGATTATGAATTATGTGTCAAATACCTTACAGCATCTACTTTGAAATAACTTTTATATTGATTTGACCTTGTGCTATTTTATTATGTGAGACATTAAGTTTTCTTTAAATGGAGAAAAAATGTCAGATTATTGAGGCTTTAGTTCCTCAGTAACACCTGTTCTTTGGTGTGAAACATTTGTGCCACAAATCTTTAAGAAGAATTTTATGTTAATGCTGACCTTTTCTTTCCTTGAGGAAAACCTATTAAAAATTCACAACCTGCTATGTTCCTTGTAAATTCACAAGCAGATAAAGGACATGGCAAGATACATGACAATTAATGAAAATAGAACAACTGGTGCTGGGCTGCACATTTAAAAGTCATTTTCCTGATTTAACTTTTTTATTTAGATGTGGTTAATTATAACTCACTGCTTATACTGAGCAGTTTCATAATTAAAGCTGAACAATCCATTGAATTTAAAGTCATATTTTAAGTGCAGATAAGTTAATGAAATCTGATCATTTAAAATGTGGCATGTTCAGTCAATGAAGGAAACATGCATAACATTCATCTTAATATAATTTGTCTACAATTTTATAAGGTAAAAGTGGTCTTGTGGCAATATATAGTTTAAGGCTGTCTTTATTTTATTTTTTACTAGAGGCCCGGTGCACAAAATTCATGCAAGGGTAGGGTCCCTAGGCCTTGCCCACGATCAGAGCCGATCAGGTTCCCCGCCTCCCCACCTACCCGCCTCCCCGCCTCCTCCTTCCCTAGCTCCCTCAGCACCCCACTGCCACTGCTGGTCACCCACCATGTTCCACGCCAACCCTGGTGGTCAGCACACATCATAGTGAGTGAGCGAACTCCCAATCTCCCAGTCGAACTCCTGAGGGGACACTTTGTATATTAGCTTTTTATATATATAGATTTTTAGACTAAAAGAAGAAACTGAGATCCAATCGATTTTTTATCTCACAGAATTAAAGTAAGATTACACTTCAGGATAGGTATTATGTTGATGGAAACTTTACCACTTAATATCAGTTAACTTTTATTTTTCAGTTCCTCACATTAAATGAGAAATTACGATGATATATTTATGAAGTACAGGAAAAATATGTAATTTGTTACCAAAAGGATAATCTATAAAAAATGTGATATTTTCACTCTTCATTTAAAGAAAAATGAAGAGCAAGTCTTAAAAAGTGAATAAATATCTATCAATTCTGTCTGTAAAATTTTGATTACTAGTTCAGAAAAACATATTGTGCGAGATTCTTTCTCACTCAGAAATATTGATGCCTTTTGGATATTGGTAATTGTTGGTATTTG